CAACCATAACAATAATCGACCGTCATTGTAGACTTTATGACGGTGACTTCCGCAGTGAAAGCGGCTGTATGGGTCACCGTCATAAAGTCTACAATGACGGTCGATTATTGTTATGGTTGTCCACTTTGTCTACTAGCAAGAGGATCACCCTGTCCCATTGCTCCAAGAAAAGATGCCGCTAAAACTCCACGTAGAGTTTCTGCAACTCCTCGGTATCTCTGTTAGGTCCACATCATGTTCCATCAAACCCAACAACTGTAAACAACAAACTACAAGACGGAAGGAACTTACTAGGCGAGTCGTTCAGCAGATCGTGTTCGTCCTCCTTCATACTGTGCATGCTGCCAGGCGATTGTTTCAAACCGGTGCTGCTCGGTTCGTGCGTTGTCGTGATGCTGATCTCCCCGTTGCTAGCCGCGAGTCTGTTCAGCGCCGATGCCGCGGACACCACCGACTCGTTCAAAGGCGACGATTGCTCGGGCCTCTCCCTGTGATGCTTCTCCGTCGGCTGTTCGAGACATCGTCGTCGGTTACGGATTAGTAGCTCGACCCGGGAACGACAATGCTCCTCTTCCACGCCAATTATGCACTTAATAATGAGACCCCCGGGGGACTCTCGAGACACTTTAGAGTCTAATTAGTAGAAGAAAACGCCGCCGCGGAATACTTTCTTAACGAGATTGCTTGCTATCGGGAATTATTCTGGTTGTTCCGCTGATCTTGCGCTGGTTAAGCCCTTCCAGGTGGGCAACGGAGGACGCGGCGGGAGGGGGGTGGTGGGTGGCTCGTATATCGTCCACGGGTCGAGTAGTCGTATTGTTACCGAGCCGGGGAGAGGGAATCGTCGGAGAGGATATCTGGCCGGTGGAGTGTTAGTTATTGATGTAACGGAGGTAAATCAAAATCCTCCAGGGAAAAGTATCCCCGTTTCGAATGAAGCTACGACTCGCGTGTAATTGAAGCGAATGAGCAAAATGTCGCGTCGATCGATCCCGTCGAAGGTTTGTCAAACATGTGCGCTCAGGAAACGATTGTTTACCAACCGAGACGCGAGTATTTTCGAGAAAAATGATCGCGTCGATTATGATTATTATCAACCCTTTCAGACCTGGCGTCCACAATTGAGGACACAAAATTTAAAAATATCGAAAAATATCGTTTAGGATTTTATTGTTCAGAACACTATTCGGATTCTTTTTTTATTTTCTCCATGCTAAAGTCCAAGTTAACCCTAAAAATTAGATTACACTAGAACGAGAAAAAAATAATTCAAGTCTGAAAGGGTTAATCGGACTTACTGTCGATATCCCAGTCGTAATCCAATTACCGCGAGTTCTATTTCATAATGAGGACTCGGTGGTCCTCGCGAGTGACTCGGGTTCGTGCGATTAAAGGTCTATTTACACATATCCGTAACGTGTCAGTTCTGTAATGTTCCATCAGTGTCAGTGATTTTAAATATTCTTCTGTTGTTTTTGAATGGGCATGTTCACACACGTCCGACACCGTTTCGTGACGTTATCGATACGGTACGGATACGGAACTGACATGTTACGAATATGTGTAAATAGATTTTTAACCGGAAAAGACGTGAATTACATCGCGTAATCAGCGTTTAACGTACCGTGTAATGATTCATGTGGGAGTTGTGTCGACGGGCGTGCTGTTGAGGCGGCGACGTCGTCAGGAGCGGTTGCTGCGAGGCCTGCTGCGCGGCCTGGACCGCTTGCGCGGCTTGCGCGGCTTGGGCCTGGGCCGCTTGTGCGGCCTGAAGCAGTTGCTGGGGCTGCATCGCGTTCAGAAGCTGCTGGCTGGCCGAACTGATGCTCAGCAGATGAGGCAGCGCCGCTGGATTCAGTCCCAGTCTCGATGCTGAATTGGGACTTGTCGGGACTGCGTCATGGAAAAGAGAAACGTTGTCCGCTTCAGAGCGACACGTTCGAGATGTGTTGAAGAGACATGGAACGAGAGGCAACGAAGAATGACTTTCTCGGTTCGGTGATTGGTCGTTTAGACCTGGGCACTTTCGTCACGACGTTATTTGGGATATTATATTTCCGAATTATAATTTATTCGTGATATGATAGTAGCAGACATGCAATTATTTTGGTTAAACCAAGTTCAAAATTAGATATAAGAGCAGCCATAATTATGTATAGCTCGAATAAATACATTTAAGGAATAAATATTTATTTGGATATATGAAATAAGTTTATTAAATCGAATTAATAAATGAACTCCAGTTGTTACTAAGGTTGATGAATGAACTGAATATATAAATTAATTCTGAGCATCAGACGTTAAGGAAAATAAATCTGCATGAAATTTGTGAATTTGAGAATTTGCAAAAATAAGTTTAAATTTAACTTTAAGCTTCAAATTAATTAATATTTAAATACACGTTTGAATTGAATTTTAGTGCAAGTATAAATTCAATAAAAATAAGTTTCAATTCTATAGAAACGAAATGATTGATTCGTCTGACAGTTAGTAACTGTAATTGGTTATTTGACTGGATAAATGCAAGATGACTATCCCCACCACTGAGGGGTTCCACCTTGACGCTCGTCGAGCGAGCAATGTAATATAATCTACTGTCTCACCGATACGTTTCGGCCTACTGCTTTTGTTCCTCGGACCTCTGTCTCTTTCACTCTCTCTCCTTTCCTACGTTCGACGCTCGACTCGAGCCAAATGTAAACACAGAATAGAAACCACGGCTGGCTAACTGCAATGATTGGGTCCCGATTTTCTTGCACTTATCCAGTTTTTACCGTATTTATTTCCAAATAACTCAATTACATAAAACAAATGCTTCCTATTTTCCCTTAAAAATGTGCCCAAGTCTGAACACTTTCAAGAACATCCAAGATTAAGGTTTAGTGAGAAATTCTTCCTACCTGTAAACTCACCATTGTTGGTCGGTGTGCCCGGCATACTCTGAGCGATGGACTGAAGATTCGCCAGCGTCGTGGAGACCATCTGGCCGTTGCTGAGCGCCAAGTTGACCATCTGATTGTTCGTGACGTGACTGACGGGGATCGTCAAGATAGTTTGCGTGGCAATTCCTGGCCGAACCGAAGGAAAGAAAGTTTCGTATCGATTAGAATCTAGCCGAGCAACGTCGCCGTCGAGACCGGTTGATAATTCTATCCCCGTGGGTGCTCGTACGAACGTGTCTCGAATCAATAGATACTTCATTTCCATTATGAACATAGTCCACGCGTCGTTGATCCGGGAAGGGTAGTAAAGTTATCAGAGTCTCATAGAGGGATTATTAGGCAACCCATAGGGCAGGTAACCTCGCAGGCCAGCGTAGTTGGCAAACTATTATCGTCATCTTAATAGTGGGTACAGGTACTGGCACTGGACTGGGCTGCGAGAAGGACGCCTAATCATACTTAGAATAGTTTCGGGATTACCTCCAGCTCCGCTAATCTGATTACCCTGTACACGCGCTTAATATGATTACTGATCATGAGTACGTACCCGTGTTGGTACCTATAGCTAAGCTAAAGCAAATCCCGTATTCCGAACAGCCATAAAAGTTTCGCGTTCTGAGGTAAGGTCAACTGACAATCCGATTAACGTTTAGTTTAAGCGACATTTGTCGCTGATATTCCCCGCTCTGGTTTCTTTTATTCCGTTCGCGACGGCAATGTTGCGACAGGAGCTTTTCCCGCGTTCTTCGTTAGACTAAATCCCGTTTCTCTGACGTTATTCGTCCGTCAACATTTTGCCTCGAAAATATATTGTTTAACCCTTTGCTGTTCTAAGGGCGGGTGTACTGGACAGGCACTTGGAAGCTTTTCTGAGGCAAGATGTCATACTCTTATAAGAGAAATATTTCTCATTAATCGCAACATTTAGATGTTTTATTACGTAATAATAATTCTATTCTATGTACGTTTTATTAAAAAATCCAAAGGCCTATTGTCAAAACTCTTATAAGAGTCGAGCTATAAAGACTAAAATATATACAGTCAGTTCCATAAGTATCCCACCTTTTATGTTTATTGGAAAAACTTGTCTGAATTGTTCTACACGTTTATATGCTCACAATGAAAAATTTATTTGGCAACATCAAGTTTATTATTTAACTTAGACAAATTTCTTCAATAGATGTAAAGGGTAAGAATATTTATTTCACCGACTGTGTTTTATATTCTGCATCTAATATTCATATTATAAATCCTAGAATCCGTTTTGGAAAACCCTTTGCCTCCACTGAAATATATTACTTCACGTATGCTTGGTTTCTGCGAACTACCAAATTCTACAAAAGATCAAATTTATTATTTAATTTACACATGTTTCTGCAATAGACATAAAGGGTACGAATATTTATTAGACTGACTGTATGTGTACTTTATATTTTGTATCTAATATTCATATTCTACATCGTAAAGTTTGTTTTGCAAACTACCAAATTATACAATGGTTAAAATCTATTAGGTAGACTGGAAAGTGATGTCGTTTCTTTTATGTTAAATTGAAATAAATTATGTAATCTTTTGCCATCTAGTGTGCAAATAGCGAATGCCAGATCGATAAAAATCAACGAGCTGATGAGCAATAATCGAGTGTTTAAAATTGCAAAAACGATATTACTTTCCAGTGCACCCAGTATCAAAAGCCTCCTTGTAACTCAATCCTAATACAATAAAGTCATCTTAAATGCACAAATTTCTCTACGATAAATGCACGGAAACCATCCCCACCACTTGGGTGTGTACCCCTTGATGGGTCCAAGAGTTCGATCGCCAAGTGTAACATGATCCGGGGATGGGATATCTCGGTGAGACAATAACAATGCAACGACAAAATTCACCGACATAACCTGGTGTTTTCGCTCCCTCCTCTTCTTTATTCGCTGTCCTTCTCTACGTTCGAAGCTCGTCGGCAGACATCAAAGAATACACGAACTCCGCGATAACTGCACAAGGTCATTCCCGATCTTGTGCATTTATAGAGATTTTACTGTACTGTAATCGTCCATAAATATCAAATTACGATTCCACCACCGATTCCCAAATAAAACACCTGACCCGCGTCTTTCCCAAGCCTCTACCCCATCTAAAATAAAATCCCCTCCCACCTCGGCCTCTTATTTTTGATCGCAGATCCAAAGTCTTATTTCCGTTGCCAGCGATCCGAGTCCTCGTGACCCGGCGGGCAGCAATGAAATATTCACTCACTATTGCGTTCGATCGTCCAACGTGATCGTGGAATGTTACACATCCGGAGGACTCCGTTCATTCTGAATATAACCGTCGAACTAGTGCAAAAGTTCAGCGTCTCGAAAAAGTATGGTTAAGCAGCCGCGTATTTAACGGACTCCCTGCTACCTGCGTAATCGATCCTGCCCCCTCCTCGAGAATAACAACAGTCGCTTAAATAAGCTCGTCGGAAGCTCGAGGGAAAGGAGATCGGTTCTCCCGGATCAATCGGTTACTCGACTCTTTCTCGCCACTCGACGTCTATCAGGAACCAATTGAGCGTTAGTCAGTTACCCATCGATTGAACCGAAAAGCAGTGCAAACATTATTTGCCACCACGTAACTCGTCATCCCACCACGACTGGTCCATATCCACGAACTTCAATCCACTTAGGCGGACTCCCAAAGTTCTCCTTACCCTTCGCCCTCTCTCTGCCTCTCCGCCGCTCGTCTCCGGTTCTTCTCCCTCCCACCCGCTCGGCTCTCTTACACGCACACATACAATTGCCAGAATAGGAACCTAACTTGGTAGAAACGAAGTTAGCGCGAACCGCAATCGATATAATAGCGGCCGAATCCGCGAAGCTGTGATGTCCAGCCGGGGAGACTACTCTGGAGGGGTTAGACCAGAGGGGAGGGCGGGTTTTCGAAGAGGTGAACCAACGAGAGGGGCAGAGGGATGGGTGGAGATGGAGGGAGGCTTATTCTGTGGGTCTGGGAAAGGGGGTAGTGAGACGTTAATTATACATTGAAATTAGTTGCAGAGTTTGCCCTCTGCTCGGCCAGGCTAGTCCGGGACCACTAAGTATGGACGACCGGGGCCGAGCCTTAGTCCGAGCTGGTCAGAGATAGTCGATATTATATTATATATCGGCACATCTTGATTGCACAACATTATGCGCCGGCACATCGTGCAGATTTCGCGATGAGACCACTCCGGACTGATTTACGTTCACGAAATTCGAAGGTACTCGGAGAAAGGGTTATTGTTGGAGATTTCTTGTCGATGCGGCCCCGATGTAACTCCGACTAGTCGGAGGGCCCCTTTATCTCTCCCTGTGGTTTAATTAAATTCTGCCGCGAGAGGATTCGCGATTAGTCCGACGTTTCAGGGGATACTGACAGTCAAATGGAAACTATCGAAAGACGTCGATTGTTTTGTACGCGTGCAAGTGTGCAATTTGGTATAATAATTAGAAGAAGGTGAGTTTTCCATGTGTGTTCTTCTCTTCAGAGGTTAGATTCGGTCCTTTTTACGGTAGATTTTTCCTCGTCGATATGGGTCGCTTTCGGGAGTTTGATGAAGATAGGGGTGACAGTGTCAGGGTAGATGTCACGGAGTTGGACACACTCAGGTGATTTTGCTTGTTGGTTTTGTTTTCCAATTTCAATTCGTGTTTAACTTTTTAGATGAGTAATAAACGAGTCTTTAAAATTGCAAAAACGATATTACTTTCTCCAGTCCATCTAGTATGAAAGGCTTCCTTGTAGTTCAATCCTAATATTCTTATCCTAATCTCCTTAAATGCACAAATTTCTCTACGATAAATGCACGGAAACCGTCCCCACCACTTGGGTGTATACCCCTCAAGGGGTCTAAGAGTTCGATCGCCGAGTAGTGTAACATGATCCGGGGATCGGATATCTCGGTGAGACAATACCAATGCAACGACAAAATTCACCGACATAACCTGGTGTTTTCACTTCGTCCTCTTCTTTATTCGCTATCCTTCTCTACATTCGAAGCTTGTCGGCAAACATCAGAAAATATACGAGCTCTACGATAACTGCACATGGTCATTCCCGATCTTGTGCATTAAAATGCACAAATTTCTCTACGATAAATGCACGGAAACCGTTCCAGTGGAGTCGATTCTGTTCTGCCTTTTTTGTTTTCTTACAGTGCTTCTATTTTACATTCCTCATTTTGTTTTTTGTGGTCCAACCAGTCTATATTATACCATGTCTTGTGTTATGAGAGAGGTCAACGCGAAATATACGTGTAACTGCCTATAGTGGGGCGTGTAGAGCCTAAGAGGTTAATAATACCAACTTCCGGTTCCCCTTTACGCCAGGTAGCCAACGCTTTTTAACGCAACTCAATAACGGATAGCTTACCATCTTAAAAAACTCTCGCGAAAAGAGCGGTCACCCATCCTTGTACTGCACCGCGCGAGGCGCATCTTAACCTGAATAATTGCACGCCAAGACACGGTTTCAATGATTCTACAGCGTTGGCTTAATTCACTTGCTGGCCTGCGAAGAACCTAATGATACTTGCAGTCCTTCAATAATCTGGTCGTAGGTATACAGTCAGTCCTATAAGTATTCTTACCCTTTTTTGTTTATTAAAAACATTTTTTTTTAAATTGAATAATAGCTTCGGTGTTCTCAAACAAATTTTTAATGATACATACATGTGTATATAACGTGTATATAAATATTCGTACCCTCTATTGAAGAAGTTTGACTGAATAAAAGTATAGTTTTGATATTTATGAGAAGTCTCAACGAGTTGACGGTCATTTTGAAATTCGGGACGGACACGTAAGAAGCAGAAGGCTTACCTTGCGACGTAGGGATAAGAAGCTGAGCCCCTTGAATGCCTTGGACCAATTGACCGGACATTAGGATGAATTGAGGCATTGCGACCGGTTGCTGCTGTGATAATAGCTGCGGTAATGTCGCCATTGGCGTCGAATTTGGTGGAAGGAGATGCGATGCAGCTGTCGTACTCGAGCCTGTTGGTACCGTGCCACCTGAGCATCGAAAGCATCGAATTCGTTAAAAATGTTGGAGTTGGTTTAAGGTAGCGGACAAATTTTTCTAGTCGACGCCAGTGGCGCATTATATTGTATACTGAAAAATAGGATTCTGTACTCGCAGGAGATAATAGGAATTAAGCCAAATGTTGTTAGATAGTTGTTATTCGTTTGAACAAATATTAGCATTGTAAATTAACTGCTTAGACAAAGAAAGAGAGAATTAATTAGAATGAACTGATTTTAGATACATGTAATGGAAGTGTAGTCATGTTATGTCTGAATTATTATTACAATATCTTCGAATTTGAATTTATTAAATTCATTTCCCTTCTTATTTTTTAGTGCCAAGTTTCGTCACAAACACACCAACATAGTTGATATTCATTAAAAAAAAAATTAGAAATGTAAGCAAATCTCTTTAACAAAGAAAGTTAGAAGTACATAATTATTATATTAATATTACCCCTGTATCATTATTATACTATTCCCGAGTAATTTTCTCTCTCAAACACAAGATTAAATTTAGAAGCTTCATCGAATTCGAATTTATTAAATTCACTTTTCCTTTTTAATTTTTATGTAAGTCGTACGATGCGCCACTGACACGAGTATTCTGATGACCGCGCTCGCAACAAAGAAGTATGCTCGTCAATGAGACAGTGGCCGAAGGGTAAGGGGGAGTTTAAATTCGATTAAGAGGGGTGTCGAATTTCGCATAACTTCGTTGGTCACTTACGGACGCGCGTTTTCATTCGAGTTGACAGTTGGGATCTTACCGGACGAGCTGACAGTGAGATTCAAGGGCGTGTTGATGAGCTGATTGTTCGCCAGCCCCGCTGTCATTCCCTGAAGACCCGCGGCTAAAGAGGCGACTTGCGGGAGGTCTTGCAGATTCGCCAGATTCTGAAGATTCTGCAGGGTCACCATGCCAGCCACTGGTAGGAAAAAATAAACACAAATAGTAACAGAGTAATAGAGATACTCGAAATTAGAAATATTCGGTGCTTAAACCTTTCAGACCTGAACTGTTTTTTTTTAGAAACAACTTGGGCTAAAATTAGTGTGGAAAAAATGAAAAAAAATCCTAATGGTGTAGCTTTTGATAGTGTTGGTAATTTTTTAATTTAGTGTCCTCAATTGTGGACGTCTGAAAGGGTTAACCCATTCACTGCCAAGTACGAGATGTCTTGTAGCTCAAATTGATTGCAATTACTCAAGGGATAAGTTTTGAGTCACCTTGAGTCACAGACCTTTCGAGTCACGAATTATTGCAAAGAAAGACCGTAAATTTTCTTTTTAAAAGAACAAATGTAATATCGCTTTTTAATGTCGGAATAATAACCTAGATTACGCATCTGTATTAAATGTTGGCGCCAATGGCAAAACGTTTTAAATTTGCCTGGCAGTGAATGGGCTAAACGATACATCGATGCGATTTGTCTTTTTATAACTTGCTGGAAAGTAGGACACAAGAGTTAGCATCTAGGACACGAAGGGAAACACGTGTTTAATTCCAGCATTCGATGTTTTTGCAGATAGAATTGACTTTTTGAGGGAATGAAGTGTTTTCAAAGTTAAACATAAAGGAATCGAAACTGTTGTGACGTTTCTATTTTGACCTGAGAAAATAAGAATTTTAAGAAAGAATTGGAGCACAGGAAGTTATGGCATCATAAAAATAATGGAATTGCTAGTTTGTATTTAAT